TCATGACATCGGCAGACAGATTTTCCATAAAAGCCTTTAACTTTATTTATGGATACCTTTTTTTTTTTTTTTTTTTTTTTTCTTCGCTCTTTTTGGTTACTTTTTGGAAGAATGTGGGAAAAGAAATGCCTAGATTAAAAATAAAATCTTACCTTTGGCTTGAACTCTCTACAGAGCGCTGCTTTGTCAAACCAAGTAAGGCAGAGGTCTTTAATGCAGTTTAAATCATTGGTTATACAGTATCAGATTAATCAAACATTCACCAAAATTAATCTTTGTTAGGATACGTAATAAAGCACACTGGGAGCATATATCAGGTCTGAAAGGAACTTCAAAGACTTTCGACTCTTAATGACAGAATTGATTTGACATTGTGCTAAACCTTTGGCTTGCTGCTGTGCAGTCTCAGAGCAGATTTGATCTATAAAAGGGGTGGATGGAATATTACCCCTGTTGCATAATAAGCTTTATTGAACTAAAGTGACAATAGAGTGCTTGTGGCAACAAAATGGACTGGAGCCAGTTTTATTATGAGAGAAAAAATGAATCTTTAATGGGATATGTGATAATCTATCACATACCGATGTGGAAAATGCTTAACCCTTATAAGGCTACTGATCTGTGCATTAATCCATGATTGTAAATGCAAATGAATATAAATGTGATTAGTGTAGTTAAAACAGCTTTGGTTGGTCAGTATATCTAGAAAGGCTATATTTAACTATTTAAAAAGATGATATTGGAGTGTGTGTCTACTGTCTTCATAAATATGAACAATATGGTCCAGAATTTATCAGCAGCATGCTATTATATGTGTGTGTTTGTGTGTTTGGATGCATGAAGAGTTATAGAGGAAGTTACAGTCTAAAATTAAAGATTTATAGGAGGATGTCATTTGCCTAATAGCAGACCCTACTCTCTGGAGAGATAAAGAAAACCACAATGATGAGCTGTCCACAGAAAAAGAGCCAAGAACCAGTCTGTCTTTGCAAAATCAGTAGAACATAACCCATATTTAAACTTCCATTCAACTAAACATTAAAGAACTTACCAGGTGTAAATAAAGAAAGCAGCCCCCATGCCATTACACAACACCATCCAATCCTCTTTCCCATTTTCATACCGGATTACTTTAATTTAACATAATGCTGAGACTTTTCTGTCATTCCTTGTTTTTTCCATTTCAATCACATATAGCCTACTAAACTCTCACGAACCACAACATCCATAGATTCAGTGCTGTGTTTCATAATAAGGAATCAATATTACTGTACATAACAGGAAATACATATTGCTTAAGGTTATACATTCAAATAGCCTTAACAGTTCTAGGAAATACTACAATTGATCATTTAGGTTTTCTAAGCAGAGTATTTAAATGCCACTCCTTTATTTAACCACTGCAGGCTTGATTCTTTGTTCTGCTTATTTTTTTGATGCATCTCAATTATCCTGCTATTTCACACACATTCTCATTGTACCAATTAAGAAGCATCTTCTGTGATTATGACAAAAGCGAGCTGTATGTGCTGTCCTGAAATTGGCAAACAATGGGCAGTGCTGCACCTGTGTTCTCATTGTTTGCTTATTCTTATTGAGAAAGCTGGCAGTAATTAGTTAAACAAAAATGTAATGAAAGGTTTTGTATGACAGTCCTGCTGGCTATGCCTATAGTGTTCTGCTTGTTTAGAGAACTATTTAAGAGTGACATCTGGCTGAAAACTCAAGAACGAAAGCTGTAGATGTTAGCTCTATGTAAGGACCACACGGCTCAGCAGCGAAATATGGAGAGTGCAGTTGTTCTCCTAAGTTTGCTGATTACTGGTAAGTACATTTTTGAAACCTCTTTTCTAGGTTGAAAGGTTTGAGAAAGACTTTCTTAAATAATTTGAGACATCTCTCCTTTCAGGATTTGCTCAAACTGAAAACATGTGCACAGATCGCAGATGTCTGGCTCAAATGTTAATAAGTAAAGAATATTTATCTTCACCTCAGTCTGAGAACTGCACCATGCTTGTTGAGGTTCCCATAATTAGATATCAAACTCTGTCTGTTGTAAGTATTTTTTTTCCCACACACTTAGTAGATGTAGCAAAGAAAATATTAAGACTATTCTCTGTTAAAAGTTTTTTTTCAAGCACTATTAAAATCTATCTTCCTTTGTTGACAGAACATGAAGGAACTCCATGTAAAGAGTCGTCTAGAGGCTGACATTGTTGGTTGAAACATTCATTTTGCAACTTAAAAAGGAACAGAAATAGAATCCAGTTTCAAACTTAATTTTATCTTAACTTGCAGAAATGGATAGACCCGGAGTTGGCCTGGAACACATCAATATATCCATTTGAAAGAGTAATATTGCCTGTAAATAAAGTGTGGACTCCAGATATAGCTATAGAAAATGGGTGAGTGTCCTACTTTTAAGACAACCTAAGCTTAATAAACTTGACGCTTTCTGTGATTCATCTGCTGTCTCTGTTGTAAATGTGTGCAGAGAGAGCACCATGCAGCACCATTCTCTGGATCTATTGGTGCATAGTAATGGTACAGTGCAGCACAAGGTCGTTGTATTGGCAACGGTAGAGTGTGAAATCAACTTGTTCAACTATCCGTTTGCTTTCGATAAGTGCCCTGTTGGAATCAAATCTACCCCACCAGATGGTAAGTAATTCGCTAATGACATAATGTTGAGCTACTCTTTTATTCTTTCAATGTTGTGTTAATTAGTTAAAAAAAATCAATTAAAGCTCATTGGCAACTACAAACCATTTTCCTCAAATCCCAAATGACAACATAAAGAACAAAACACCTGTACTCTGAATTGTAGCAACATGTCTATTATACCCTTTACAATTTCAGTGACAATAATAAAATGTTTCCAGATTCTACGGTAGCAAAAATCTTTGCTACCGTGGTGCCCTAAAGCAACAAACCCAATTTGGTCTGTTAGTTTTCAAATATCAATCTCTTTAAATAACAATTTACTTATAAAAGTAGCAAGAAAGCAACAAGCTGGGATTTAATTTGTAATATTATTTTTCAAGAACAAATATTCAGTTTTTCATCTATTAATTTATATATATAGCCAATATGTATATATTATGGATGCACGGCGGGTAGCGATGTCTCCTTGCAGCAACAAGGTTCGATTCTTAAATCTTAAGTCTTTCTGCATGGAGTTTGCATGTTCTCCCCGTGCATGTGGGGGTTCTCTCCAGGTACTCTGGGATCCTCCAAAGGTGCAAAAATCTTAGTTAGGTTCATTGGTTTCTGTCTGTATTAATTGGGTTTGTGTGTGTCTTTGTGTTGCCCTGTGACCGGCCCCACCTTGATGGAATAAGCGGGAGAATATATATATATATATATATATATATATATATATATCTGATAGTTTTATTATGAATATATATGCGTATATATTATGAGTATATATACGTATCTTGCACGTACGTATATATACGTATATATTATGAGTATATATATGTATCTTGCAATATGTCCATATTAGTCTGAGTCTGTCCAATCATCTTCTGATATTGTCTCCTATTTGCTGCTGATGACAACACATTTAGCATGATGTTTTTTCACACCTTCTTTAAGGTTTCAAATGAGGCTTTCTCTACCTGACTTTCAAGGGGTGTGTAAGTGTGTATGGACATGTGTTTGTTAACTGGGACGGAGGGGCAGTGTATGACCATTTTCTTATTTAGTATTTAGTAATAGTAAGGGGTTTGGGTTAGGCCATGAAAGTGAAATGATTGGGATAGTTGGACAAAATGTGTGTGTCTAAAATATGTCATATTTCTGTCTGACAAAATATTGATGAATTACTAAATAAAGTGTTGTTTCTGCAGAGTGCGGGATAGTCGTAGACGTTAACACTGTGACTTTAGGAAGCACTTCCCATGGAGACTGGGAAACAGAAGAGGTTAAACTAGAGAAAAAGCGAGAAGACCGTAATTATATCTCTGTAAGTTCATGAAATTAAATCCTAACCAATTCAAAATGAAATCAAATGCTACATT